AGCAAACAATTCAGCTTTGTCTTTAGGTGAGGTGACAAAGTCTGAACCATGCAAAAGAGGTGAAATTACAGACTTGCCCTTATTATTGAAACTATTATTCTCCAGAAGTCACGAGAGCCTAATTTTTTTAGATAAAATACGAGATTTCATGATCTAAGAATAGCGGGCTTTGGCATTAGACAAAACCTTTTTACAATGGTTCCTAGCAGTAATAAACAGGCGACTGTTTTCTGGAGAATTGTTTTGCTGATAGATATGGAAGTAATGGTTTTGATTGGCAATTGCAGCAGCACAATGTGAGGAAAACTATGGAGAAGAGTGAGGCTTGACCTGGAATCGTTGAGAGGGAATAAAGGATTCCATACCAGCCTGAATCCACAAAGTTATGTAAGAAGCAAATTTTTCAACAGGAAGACGAAAGATTTCTAGCCAAGGGCCATCACGATGAAAGTCCCGGAAAAAGACCCAGTCAGCTTTAAGGTAGTTGTAAGATGTACGATGATAGGGGGATTCTGATGATAAAGAAGAATGAGATAATAGTTTTAGAGAGACCAAACCATGATCGGAAGCACCTAAGGGTGAGTGTGAAGAAACTGAGCACTGACTAGGATCAGAAACAAGACAAAAGTCGAGTAGAGAAGGTAAATGATTCGGGTTGTCTGGAAAGCGAGTTGGAAAGTTGACTATTTGAGTTAGGGAATGAGAGTCACTGACACTAGAGTCAAGCCATTCAGTGTGATGAACTTTAAAGTCACCGACAACAACAATATTGGCTGATGGATAAAGAATGAGGGCTTGGTCAATATAATCAGAAATAACATCAAGAAGAGTGCAGTCTTGAGAGGAAGGAAAGCGATATAGAACAAAGAGAAAGGTGATAGAGTGAAGTGGTGCTAAATGAAAACACATAAAAGAGTAGTCTGTGAATTCAAACCTAGTTTCCCGACAAATGGGTAAATTCTTGCAAATATAAATGCCCAGGCCAAGCATGTGACTATTGGAGTCTTTAAAGGAAGATAACCATTAACACTAAGATCACAATATGAGACAGCTGAAGTCAAATTAGTCTCACAAAGAGCAAGAAGGTCTGGTGAACTTTACAAGAGATAAGACTCAACAGAAAAAAAGTTACTTCGAAGACCACGAATATTAGTGAATGATAGGTTTAGCGAACTTGGTGATGACTATGGTTTTTTGTTTTATGGTTTTTGTTACTTTATTCATTTGTAAATTTGTTAAAGAACTTGACTTGAAACATAGATAGTACTCAGTACACTGTTTAACAACCTAAGCAATTGGCTCAATACTATTAATAAACCCTAAGTCATAACAAAGGGCTCCGATGAGGCCTCGGCAATGCACACCAAAAGCACAAACAGGGACACCATCCATGCGCAACAAGGCACTGTTAGTAATTTGATATTTTACAGCTATTGGTGGAATCAGCCTCTCTGAGAGCTACCACATAGTTCAGGAAAACTGACTACCAGCCGGCCTTAGAACCATAAAACTGAGTTTCAGAGCTGTACCCTCATTAGGAGATAATAGAATGAGTCATAAAAACAGAAAATCAAGCAAAACCCATGCATCAAGTCAAGAAGATCCAGCGTTCAACATCCTAAACTGGAAACAATGTATTAAAAATACATCCGCGCCAGCCTAATAGATGGAGAAGGGATGCGAGGCTGGTCAACAAATAGTGTCTGTTTACCCTTCAAGTTTTTGTCGAGGAGGCCTTCTACAAGACAACAGTCGAATGCATTTAACATCTGCCCAAGATGAGTATTTTTATTGAGACACCATCTCTAGCCTTTACTCAACAAAGAGCCTCAAGGCAGGGGGTATTTTATGTCGGAGTTGGCATCTCCTAGCTTTTGCCTAAAAAGGCGTATCCTACAAGGCAGCAGGACATGAAGCAGATTGTACTGGGTTACATGCTACCAGTATACCTACATTATCAAAAGTGAGTTGTCAAAGTGAGTTTCTAATTCACTCGCTGTTGACACATAGCAACATTTTATCTACTACTACTAAATTATAATAATATTTTTAATAATATAGCAAACATATTATTATAATTTATAATTGTTTTTAAGCAAGTACAATGAAAGCACATTGGGGCTCACATTTTAAAATCATAACACAGATACTTTTACATAGCATGTATAAAAAAGGTCATTTAAAAATCTGCTGATTTTTTTTTTTATATCATGTCTTATATTGCAATACACGGCTGTTTCACGCAATGTAAAATTGGGCATTACGTCACGAGTTTAGCAAAAACAATTTCCGCAGAAAAAGCTTTCTAAAAATTTTGGCATATAAAGTATAAAAATTCAATAAATTTAAAGTAATAGTTTTTTTATAAACGCTTTTGTGTTCTAATAAAAAAAGAAACAGCCTTTATTCCAAGGGCTATATATATACATGTATATATATATATGTATAGATATATAGATATATATACATGTATATATATATACATATATATATATATATACATATATATATACATATATATATGTATATATATATATATGTATATATGTATATATATATATATGTATGTATATATATGTATATATATATATATATATATATATATATATATAATATATATATATATATATATATATATATATATATATATATATATATATATATATATATATATATATATATATATGTATATATATATTTATATACAGCCCTTGGAATAAAGGTTTTTTTTTTTGTTTTTTTGTTAGTAGCAATATATATATATATATATATATATATATATATATATATATATATATATATATATATATATATATATATATATATATATATATATATTGCTACTAATGTATATATATATATATATACATATATATATACATATATATATATATATAAATATATATATACATATATATATATACATATATATATACATATATATAAATATATATATACATATATATATATATATATATATATATATATATATATATATATATATATATATGTATATATATGTATAGATATATATACTTATATATATATATATTTTATATATATATATATATATATATATATATATATATATATATATATATACATATATATATATATATATATATATATATATACATATATATATATATATATATATATATATATATATATATATATATATATATATATATATATTGCTACTAATGTTGTACCTTATATATATTGCTACTTATGTAGCACTAGGAGCATTTAGGTTTTCAGGATAAATATATTGAGCATTTCAAAATAAAAGAGCACATAAATAAGAAAAGTACAGAGCTTGTAAACACCAAAAGCTTATCAAAATAATTAAATAAAATAATTAATAATAAAAAATATTTGAAGATTTAGAAAAAAATTTCAAGCTATATTCTAAGCTATATTTTAAGAAATTAAATTACCCAATTTGTATTACCTAACTTTATTGAAATAAAAAGAGAATGTTAAGAAATGAAACCGTTAGTTATTTTGTAAAGCAAATCTAAAACAAAACCTTTTCAATTCTAAATTATTATTTTACTGAATCAGAGGTAAAAAAAAAAAATTCATAGAAATGTTTGTAGTTGAACTGAACTTGATTTTGTAGTTAAGGAGAGATCCGAAGAAAAATATAGCGTTTAGTCATTTTCGCTTTTAAAAAATGCTGTTTTATTTTGTGTGCATTTTGATTGGTTTTTTTTTTTTTAATCACAAAGCTCGTTGTTTTTTTTTGTTTACAAATATTCAGTGATTTTATTATCTACCAGTTTGAAGTTTCAGCTTATAATACTATGGGGCAGAATTTATATAAATACTGAAACGTTTTTGTTTAGTAATTTATTCAAACGACTATAAAAAGATTATGGTAGTAAATTGCTATGAGTGAAAACTAATGTGAAAACTTCAACTTTAATGTTTTTACTATTTACAAAAACATAAAATCAGAGGTTTTTAGTCATTTATTGAATATTTTAATGCTGTAAGCAAGAAGTCATTTTACTTTCAAATGAAAGAGACATGTTTTAAATGTAAATACTTTACACGTTTGTTTTAGCTGTTTTTATGACATTGCCCCATCACATTTTATGTATTTTAGTGGTAGTTTTGTTTTGCTTGATGCTTTGGTTAAAAAAAGATTTATAAAAAAAAATATTAAATTATATAAGAAAAGCTTAAATTCTACTTTTAAAAGATATATAATAGTAATAGTCGAAAATAAGCAGAAAACACGAAAAATTGAAGTTTAAAAATGTAAATTTTTGTTTTTATGAAATGCAAACCATTCGGTTCTCTCCTCAACTACGCTGAGTACTCTAATTTTTAATCTCATAAAAATTGATATGGTTACAAACTTTTCTAAACTATTTTTAAAAAATGTATATTTAAAGTACGTTTATAAATTTCCATAATGTTGTGCAAAGCATATGAATGATGAAAAAATTTCATGGTACTTAAATAGTGATTGGTCAGTAGTAGCCTCATTGGAAGACTGCCAGAGGAGATGAAATCTAATCTTTAGTGATTTTGTCTGATAAAAAAATGGTTGGTTGCCCCCTCAGGTGGGTTATTTTAACAATCAAAGTGAGAACTTATAGTTATATAAGTTATAGTGATTAACCAAAACATTTTTGTTTAAAACTTGTTTTAAACTGTTTAAGATTATTTTTTATTGTTGTGGGTACTGTTACCATTATCAAGCTCGACAAGCTGACTGATACCAACATTAGTTGTTATAAAAAAAAATATTTCATATTTGTAATCAGTTGAAGTAACTGTATTCAGCTAATGTTAACTTTTGGTTGATCTATAAATTTTTACCAGAAGAAAAAAAAATTACACAAATAAAAACATGTATCAGTATTTTCAGAAATCTAAATCTAAAAAGTGATTTAATAAAATAGAAAATAAAACTATTTAGAGGTAGAAAACAAAATTATACTTAATGCAATGTTGATTCAAATATTATATGAAGTTTTTGTTACCTTTTATTGCATATATCATTAGATTTTATTACATCAGATGACTGTTTATTTGCAGAACTATACTCAAAAACATCAATTGAATCACTAAATTTTTCTTCATGTAACTGTTCACTAGCTTTTTCTTCATGTAACTCTTCATTTACTTGTTCAAGATAATCAGACGAACTTATTTGAATTTCAGAAGTTGACTCCTTTTTCGTACTAAAATCAATATGTTTTTTGTTACTATAGCATTATGTTTTTATGTTAATATTTTTATGTTAAGTTATGTTTTTTAATACCTTTCAATGCATCCAACATTACTTTTTATCGCATCAGATGGCTGTTTGCTTACGTAATTATACTCAAAAATATCAACTGATTCATTTATTTTTTCTTGACATACCTGTTCTTTTATTTGTTCAAGATTATCAGCTGAACCTTTTTCGATTTCCTTGCTTGTATCAGTATTAGCAACATTGACAATATTAGCAGCAATAAATTCTGAAAACACTTCTTGGTTTTTAGACTTTAGACTGAGCTCTTCTAAATTAGCGTTTATACTTTTTTGTTCATTTGAAACATTATCCTCTTTACTCAATAAAAGAGTTTTATTATAAGTATTAAAACTATTCAGATTTGAATCCATACATGTATTTTCTAACAAAAGTTTCTCAACAATAATTTTATTACAATCTGCATCTCTTTTCTCCAAATCTTTATTTTCTATTACAATTTTAGTCTCGTTCTCTTCGCATAAATCTATAGTTTGTTCAGTTTCCAACAAAATTGGACAGTTAGCATTTGAACTTTGTTCTTCGAGGTTTAAAGAACTTTCAGGTTGAAGACTATTGTTTGTATTAACTGTTACATGATCAGAAAAAGTGCATAAAAGATCATTTTTTGGCTCTTCATTAAGTGCATGTTTAACAACACTATGCTCTTCCATGCTATCTTCTTCATCATCACCCTCATCTGCACTAAGAAATTCTTCTTCACTTTCTGAACCATCCATCCCAAGCAATATAAATTATTATATGAAAGCCTAATACAAAAAAGACAAAACATTAAACAGCCAGTATAACAGTGATGTTACATTAAAATCATTTTTATTTAAATAATGCAACACTTTTTGAAAATCATTTAGGTTGTTACAATATATATACTATATATAAAAAGTTCAAACTTTTTATATATAGTATATATATATTGTAACAACCTATTATATATATGTATAACAGTTTTTTTAAAGCGTAAAATTCTTTTTAAAATGATAACCCATTGAGTTGATGAATTGATTGAATGTAGTTAATATTTTTACATTTAATTATGCTATGGATATAGTTTAACATTTTAGAGAGAGAAAAATAGTAAGGATATCATAGAGGAGGTGGTGAATTATGAAGGAACAATAAAAAATGATCATTTCAGCAACAGCAATTTTAAAATTACTACCAGAGAAAATAAAATTTTTGTTGCGAAGATACTGAGGAATTGATGCAATACATACAAATTTGTAATCTAAAAATTTAGAAAAACCAGTGTTGGTCAGCTTCAAGTTTGGGGTTGATCAACACTTTTTTCCAAGACAATGCTCTATGCCATATAGCACATTTGATTTACTGATAATTAAAAACTTTATTAAACAATACCAAAATAAATTACAACCATGTATAAAAAGCAATAGGGGTCTTAACTATATCATTTTCTATATAAATTTAAAAAATTTAAACTGTGTTTCACTTTTTTATCATTATGTTTTTTATGTTAAATATCTAACTTTAAAAACACTGCAACCCATCTATCTAATTTTCTCTATCTGAGCGTATAAACTTGCTTGGACATTTTGGATAAAGTGTGTATATTTGTAATATGTAAAATGGGACAAATAATATTGTACATTATTAAAATTTTGTACCATTAGAATATTATTATTCATTCCTTAGTTTATGACTGTTGCTATTTAAATTCGAGTTCATATAATTACTATTTATTATTTAACAAAATGAGTCAATACTGCTAAATTTGTAGTGAAAAGTTTATTTTCTATCAGTGCAGAGAAAGAATGACGGACGCATTTATATAATGAATTTTATAATAAATTTAAAAAAAAGGAAAGAAAAGAAAAAGTAAAGGTTTAATGGAAGTTTTAGTTAAACAGGTAGGTTGTTACATTTTGTCAGTATATAACTGTTTGTAATTTTCCTGTCTGTGTGTAATATTCAATTGTTTTAAAACTGATATTGGTTTATTTTCATAAAATTTCTTTATTATTCTTATAATTGTTAATTTATCATCATTATTATTATCATTATAATTTGTATTATTAATACTATTTCATGGTATTTACTCAACATTAGTTTTTAACTATTTGTAAATCACCTCGATTGTATGATCTTTTATCGAAATATATTGATTGATTGATTATATATTAGCATATTTTGTGTCTTTTTTTGTGAAGCAGTATTATTATTAAAAAGCCAGTATTATTTTAAAAAATCAGGTAGATAATGGTTACTACAAATAAATATAGTAACTAATATAAAGAAAAAAGTTATTAAATATTTACACCCTAAGCTCATTTTAACTAAATTTCAATTTTATAGTTGTTTTTAAAAAAGTAAATTTAAATATAAATCCTTTAAAATTTCAACAACAACATCAAAAGAAAATTTAAATGATAGTAAATAAATAATTAATAACAATAATAATAACATATACATTAATAAATATATGAATACAGTAATATCAATGTTTAAAATAATTTTTTTTTTTATTGAATAAAAAAAATTAATAATAAAAAAATCAAATATATGTAATTTATAATAAATTAATTAATTTACATTATAACCCGTGATGTTAATTTATTATCATAATTTGTATTATATAGCGATTTTTTTAATCAAATTAAAAAAAAATTACTAAAAATAATAAAAAATAATGATAACAAATAATAACAAATAATAAATTGCGACGATTTTCAAAAATGCAAACAAAAACAACTGATGACGATTTCCAGATTACGTAAAAGACGAAGGCTAATTTAACGTCAAACGAGTACAATAAAACTTAACTAAAATCATAGTCATAAGAAATAGATCTTATTATATATAATAAATCTTATTTCTTATAATAAACCTTATTTCTTATGACTATGCTAAAATTTGTGATAAAATACACCACTGAAGAATAAACACATTTAAGATCAGCTTTCAAAAAGTGATGACTATTTTCAAGACTGGATTATATAGTTGCGTTATCAGCAAATAGTTTAATAAAGATTGGAATAAAACAGTAACATATATTGTACCTTATAGGTTATTATACCTTTTACCTTACTGTACCCAGAAGTTATTGGAAATGAAGTAGAGTTTTGTCTATCAAAGACAACTTTAATAATGCGGTTAAAAAGCAATAATTCAATAGTCTAAAAAACATTTAGACACATCATAGAGAAGACCAGTATGCCAGACTTTATCAAAAACTCATTGAAAGGTTAGCTTTTTTAAAATAACAATTTAACACGCTTTTGAAATAAAATTTGTTTTATCGTCAGTATTTATGAGGTACAAGCAGAGCCGCCAAAAGGGAAGGGCAATTGAAGTAGTTTGCCCCGGGCATTACAGTCTATGAGGCATCACATATGCCTTTAAAAAATTATTAAAAATGATAAAAAATTTAGATGATAACATATCTAAAGCTTAAGCTAACTTTGTGTAATAATTTTTTTCTCCTTTAAAACTTTGTTTAAATTTAAAATAGGATAATTATTACTTTACAAGGTTTTCATTTTCCATTTGAACGCACGCGTTTTCGTTGCCCTTTTGTTTGCATAATAAAGTTAAAAATTTTCTATTTTAACGGCAAAAAAAAACAAACGGGAAAAGTTCTTTTGGAAATTAGACAAAGCGATGGAAAGTACTATTTTGATAATTTTTTGTTTGCAATTAGGATCCAATCAAAAAGTGTTCAAAAATGGGAATCAAATTTCTTGGAGATTATAGCTAAGCATCAGAAAAAGAAAAGCTTATTACTTGTCCTGAAATTTACAGAATAAGTTTATCGAGTACAATGGTTTTAGAAGGTATTTGAGAAATCAAAAAATCAATATATTTCGCTATCACCACGTACAGCACTGCCGATTTGTCTCACAGCGGTCAAATTACTTTCATTATTCGTTTTTTGCATTTTATTGATAATCATCTGGGGGGGGGGGGGGTTAAAAAAATGTTCCTTAAACTAGAAAAACTTGAAAGGAAGAAAGGATCTGATATAACAAAGTTGATATTAAATGAGTTGGAAAAGATTGAGTTCGACACAAGAAATTGTCGTAGTCAAGGCTAATGTCTTCAATATTGCACTCGACAATCTGACTATTCAAATGATCAAAATTTTAAGTAATATAAGAGGAATGTAACAAGTTTTCCTTCCTTTGGTCTTCACAGAAATCTTAAACAGAGGAAGAACTAGGTTTAAAAGCTGAGATTCTGGCAAAACATTACCGAGAAGACTTATGTAAAAACGAATTTTCTGATAAATTTTTGCATTTTTTTTCGTAAAAAGAAATATTCTAGGCAGCAAAAAGCCTGTTGAACAATAAATGAAGCTTATGCAAAGGAATTGCATTCAATATTTCCACAAGGGTATGTTTCACTTTTTCCAAAAATTACCCGTTTCAACATTTGAAGGTGAAAGATCTTTCAATAAGTTAGCTATCATTAAAGATTATCTTCATTCATCTACAATGGACCAGGAGCAATTGTGCTACTTGATGATCTTTTCAAGTGAATCAGATTTAGCCAATAACGTTTCTTAACAAGTAGTTGTTTTTGCCGCTAAAAAGTCCAGAAAGATGCGTTCGATATTAACACTTGATTTTACCATAGTTTGTTTTTAAAAACCAAAATTTATTAAATATGATTTTAGGTTTTCTATGAAAGTAAACAAAAACTAACTATACTAATTTATTTGGTATTTGTCATTTTAAGACCTGAAGTATGGTAGGGCATCCATTAAACTTTTGGACCCGGGCATCACAAAAGCTCTGGGCGGGCCTGAGTACAAGTTAACATAAACTTGTTAAAATTAGTTAAAATTACTTACCAAAGACTTGTATTCAATTAAAGTAAGAAGAATGGGTGTGAAAAACTGGCTTTTGCAGCTTGAAATAAAAAATGGCTTGTAAAAAAGTTAATTTTCATTTTCACTAGATGTCTCGTTTGAGCTGTAGAGGGGTAGCTCAAGTATTCTCAATACCCAATCATCTTCACTATTTAAAAAAAGATTGTTTAACAACAAAGTAATAATTTCATTAATATCAATGCTGTTATAAAAATATCAAATACATAATAATAGCATAATGAATAACACAGAGTTATACAATTGCTATTAATGCTTAAACAATAAATCTTTGAAAATGCTGTGCTCAAATTTTAGAAGCCAATTTTTAAATCTAGTTAAGAAATTAAGAATTATAAGTATTAATTTGAAAAGAAAAATTGAAGTTAAGAAATTAAGACTTATAAGCAAAAAATCTAGGAAATCAAAGAACGAGAAAAAATCCTATAATTGTTTAAATTATTTAAAACGACTAAACTATTAAAAAATATTAAATACCTAAATAAAGTCTTAAAATTATTTAAAAACCTTTACAAAATGCTATGTAATAATTCAAATTATTTAAAAGAACTAAACTATTAAAAACTATTTAAAACCTTAATAAAATGCTATATTAAATTTTTAAAAATCATTAAACTTTAAAATTATTAAAACTCAAAATTATTAAACTTATTAAAATTCTTTAAAAAAAACCATCAAAAACCTTAATAAAACATTAATAAAATTATTAAAACTTTCGATTGATAAACTTTGAAAAAAATTACTAATACCTCGTTCATATATTCATACTGACGATACACACGTTTTATTTTAAAATTAAATTTTATTGTAAAAAGCTGTATAAAAACACAATAAAACAACACTATAAGGTTATTTTATCAATATAAAAAGCTGGTGTTAATATAAAATAACTTTGCGATCTTGTTTTATTGTTGTT